ACATTTTAAATAATTATTTTCTTTAAATTTGCCAGACAGCTGCAGCTTATCCAAATTTGATTGATAGTGTCTCTAACTCTTATAGCGATAGACGCCATACACCGGATGCACCTCTGTTTGCTTTTAAACTCCTTACTCAGCAAGACATCGTCAATATAATCACTCACATTGAGTCTACGGCATGTGGCTCTGATGGTCTAACTTTAAATATGGTTTGCTTATGTTTGCCTGATACCATATCACTCACATTATTAATGTCTGTCTCGAAACAGGTTACTTTCCTGCCAGTTGGAAAAATGGTATTATTATTCCAATAGCTAAAACTAATCATCCAGAACAATATTCGGATCTCAGACCAATTACCTTATTATGCCTTCTATCAAAAATACTCGAAAGAGCTGTCTACTCACAACTAGTGGAGTTTTTCGAACAAAATCACTTATTTCCTCTACATCAGTCAGGTTTCAGAGCTGGTTACAGCACTACTTCGTCTTTATTACATCTTACTGACTCCATGATTCACAATTTAGGTAATCACATCAACACCGTCTTGGTACTGTTAGATTTGTCGAAAGCCTTTGATATGGTCAATCACCAGATACTACTGAGTAAGTTATCTCATTATGGAATGTCAGATATAGTTCTAAGGTTCTTTGAGTCATACTTGCTAAATCGTCAACAAACAGTGAAAACTGATCAGGGAATTTCCTCCTCTGAGCCAGTTCCTTCAGGAGTTCCTCAGGGCTCAGTATTAGGTCCCTTACTATATCTGATTTATACGATCGATCTGCAAGACTGTTTAGTCTACTGTAGTATGCAAACTTATGCAGATTATGCATTTAGTGTTTGGTTTCGATCCATCAAAGGTTGATGAAGTTTCTTTTAAAGTTAATTTAGATTTGGCTAACATCAGTAATTACTGTAACAAACACTGCTTGAAGATCAATCCTAAAAAAACTACCGCAATGTTGTACTGTTCGAAGAACTCCTACCGTGAAATGAAGCAGAGGATTTGTGTTGTTCTAAATGAGACACTCATCCCTTTTGTGGATTACGCCAAGAATCTCGGTGTTACCCTTGACTTAAATATGAGATTCGATCGGCATGTCTCTTTCTTATCTAGAGTAACGTATATGCGTTTGAAACTCCTCTATTCTAATCGATTCATTCTGAATTTTAAAACCCAAAAAAAGCTCGCTGAAAGTCTTGTGTTGTCTGTCATTTCTCACTCTCTTGTTCTTTATTACCCATGTTTAGACTACGTCCACAAAAGGAAACTCCAGAAAATTCAGAACAGCTGTTGTAGGTTTATTTTTTGGATTGCGCAAGTTTAGTCGCGTCTCAGATAAAATCAAAGAACTCAACTGGTTGCGAATTGATTAGTTATTTTTATATCTTTTAACCGTCTTCACGCATAAAGTTCTATTATCTAACAGACCAGCTTACCTCGCTAGCAAATTAGTTCACCGTGGTAGTTTTGTTACCAGAGCTCTTAGATTTAATGCTAATTTTAACATGCCTCCTCACAATACCTCGGTCTTTGAAAGAAGTTAAACCTATAATGCTGTGAAGCATTACATTGGTATGTTATTATTTTGTTTATGTGTTTAAGTATTTTTTTCCTGTTGTGGGGCTGGGTGTAAGAGTAGCCGTCTGGCTAAACTTCGCGCACTACAGCTAATAAAGGCATTGTTATTATTATTATTATAGTACAGGTGAACGAGTTTTTTTGAGAAATGATGAATGATTTCATTTAGTTCAGTCATCAGAATGGTTCGTTTGAACTAGTTTTGGCCGCTTTAGCAGCTTTTCTTGAAAACAACTATCTTTCCTATGCTACAAACCATATGACATTTATCGCTCATTGGACATCAATAGCAAGCTTGTTATACACATCAGAAACCAACAACAAGAATTTTTGTAAAATGTAACAGGCTGCGATCGAATATACAGCAGGATAGTAGTTGTTGTGGTGCATGGCGCACGGAGAGCGGCAGGTTGAATCCTTACGATGATTTACCCTCGTCCGTCTTCGCGTCCTGTCCGTCGTCCTGAGGCAGCGCTTATAAACCATTTCGATCGAATTCCGATCCTTTCTCTTCGTTGTAAATTAAAAAACGATCTATGCGTTTGTGTCAGCGTCGAGTGGAGATTTCCTAGTAAGCTCGCCTTTATATGGTCTGTTTGCATCAGGCCGACTCCTGGACACTAGAGCTATTACTAGGACAGTGGCGGAGATACTCCAATTTTTTCACGCTGTGCAACGGGAAGTGATTAACATACGAGTATTCCACGAGAAGATACCAAATTTGATTAAAAGCCGTACCTACGCGAAAATAAACACAAGTAGCGTATACACATACGATTTGATGTTGGAAGGTGAGAGATTAGCAAAAATTCCTTTTTCTCAACGTTAAGTTTTTCAGTTGTTTGAACACCACATTTCCGATAGTTATTAAATACATCTACGTCACTAAAAACCATGTCACTAATTGTCGTCGGTCTGTCTGCCCGCTAATGATTGACCACTCTAAAACTTGATGAAATATTCACTCAAGGTTATGAATATGTCAAGGATGGAAAATTCTTATGGATTATGAAAATCGATCCAGGGATGGTGGGGCTGGGGGCACAAAAGTAAAAAAATAAAAATCGCTCAAACTTCGCCTTAAGACGTTTCTATCATTTTTGAAACGATTTTGAGACGTGTAAAATTGAGAGGTAGGGGGTTGAGGGTGGTCACTGAAATATTGGAGAAAGATTTCCGACCGTCGCGAGTTAATCAAGCGCTTCGCGGTCCTGGTTATGCATTTGTGTAGCAGTCAGCCTCCGCTGCTCGACTGGATGTGAACCGTTCGTCATCCATGCCTGATGTATAAATTGCTTCCGCAGAAATTTCTCTCAGAGGAAGGGGGAGGATCATCCATCGAAAATAGATAACTTTTGTGCGAAAGCGCAACTTCCTCTAAGACTTTTTGAACAGCGAGGAAGAGAATATTTTATCAGGGAGCCAAATCCTAAAGAGCATCAAAATTGTACAAAAAACATGGTAAATGTGCAAATTTTAATCGTAGAAGTTTTACCAACTTGATCCGTTTAATTTTTCTTGTTGTACATATTCGTAGCTACCTTTTTACTCAGAGGGGCCAACATGTGCCGAATATAAGCCTATACGAACTGATTACAGCGTTGCGTAGGAAATGCAGAGTCAATCTACTTGACGCCGTTTTTTGTCTCTGTCTACGTGAGCAACCTACCCGAGAATGTATTTGTTATTTTAATGAATATCCTTCTAAAAGAAATGTCTCTCATTTATATTTTCTCCTTTCATTATCTCCTTTGCATGATTAAATAATTTTACCTCCGTTTTACAAATCTACCCCCTCCCTACCTCCGAATGTTGTGCATGACGCTACTGTTCCTTTTAGTTCCGACGCCCACTGGCGGGTAAGTATTCTTATCGGTATTCTTATCGCGAAAATGTTCCAAAATGAGATATTTTGTTTTTTTGATGTAACATGTAACATCACGAAAAAACCTGCCTGTCCGCTAATCTTATGACCGCCGCTCGGATTTTGACGAAATTTTTACACAATGCTATCACTATGCCAAGGACGCAAAACATTTGTAGTTTATGAAAATCGTCCAGTGACGGCAGAGAGAAAGAATAAAAAACGCTCAAACTTCGTTTTCTAGTCATTTCTGAAATAAGATTCAAACGTAAAAAACTTGGGGTGGGGCTAGGTAGGGTTTTTCTCAATTTTTTGATGTTAGTACATTATCACATCAGCACATATTCTCAGCAGACGGCTCGCATGTCTGCTGCTCCCGGCGAGATGCCGCTTTCATTGGTGAATGCTCTGTTATTCTGGTACGCTCTGACCGCGCTGCCCCGTCTGACCGGGTTAAGTATCATGGAGAGCAGACGTTGCCAGATGCACTACCGGCAGGGCTGAGAAAGAAAGTCTATGGACAAATTGTATGGACCTGTTTGACTGTATTTCTAAGGGTTATAGTTTGTGCTGAACATAATCATTAATGAACTGATAACGGCGTTGCGTGAAAAGTGCAGAGCCAACCTACTTAACGCCATTTTTTCATTCCTAAAATTAAGATTTATATGAAACCGTACCATGTTTTACTGCAGACAGGAATAAACGCTGTGTTTGATGTTAATAACCCTTCCAACGATTAACATGGATTATACTTAAATAGGTTTTTGAAAAACTTCATTAATCAATTTTCCTTATTTTGACCTGTGAAGTTATTTCCATGTTTTCTGATGTTCCTCTCGGTTTTAGAGATGTCAATGTTCTAAGTAGTTTTTTAATGCATATTGTAGTTGAATTCCTACTGTGTTACGGCTTCAGTCTCAAGATTTCTATTTTACATCTTAACCAGTCAGCCTCCTCGAAATAAACATACATACCATGACGGCGTTAACAAGGTATTCATTTAAGGCGTCCCAGAATAACATGACAGTCTCCCTAACTCTCCCTAATACATATAGAATACAAAAATAATGCCATAGTTCCTATAAGAATGTCCTACCGGGAAATACAGACCCCTAAACTAAAACTAAAGATTTTGATTATCATTTTAGAATTCGACAAAACTCTGACTACGTATTAACTAGTTTAGGCATCACATTATGGCGTCCATGGAAAACAGTTACTGATCTAGATCGCCAGGAATGGACTAAACTCAATATATCACACCTTGTACCAAAATTGCGCAAGAAAATTGCTTCTGGAAAGGCTAATGCTTCAGTTGAAAAATATAATGTTCTTGTCCGATTTCGATAAATTGTGCCGTTTTTAGATAAACAGTGTTGTTCCTATTGATTTACACTGCAGCCACTCCCCAAACAGCCTTACGTAATCTAAAACTTAAGCAATCTGAAAGTTTATATTACAGTTTTTCGGCTATAGGGGGATATAGGGGAAAGGGGGGGCGTCACACGGACTCCAGCGACAGCACACATTCTGGCCACACCTTACCTGGGTCGTACCTCCATGCTCGGCAGGCTGAGACCGTCCACCACCTATGGAGAATCACAACATCCATAGTCAAGAGAAGCATCCTCTTGGGACGGGATTCGAACCCAAGCAGCTCACAACAACTGACCTACAGCGCCTATCACACTGCCTAACGGCTTCAGATATAATTAAAAAAATATATGAGTTGGCCTTTAGGTTGTGTTGACTTTTAATAGTGAAATCATATACACGTCTAAAGGCCAATACTTTTAATGTGAATATTGTCGAAGGTTTGAAGTTGTTCAAAATGGACCCCATATCCAGTCGGACAACCCAACTGAATTTTGATATCACATGATTTCATGCGATTCTGAAGATCATCGGAGGTATCGAGAGACAGATATTCATTCTGCATCATCAATTGAAAAGCTCAGGTTAACTCTTTTAAAGCGTGTTGCCTCTCTACTCGTCATTGTCTGTCAGAATGGTCCGCAGGACCTTTGCTCTCGGTTCAAGCTAGTCTGTCAGGTCTGGTTGTCCGTATTATAGATAAATTCAAGGAGAAAGAAGGAAAGAAAAAAAACGAAGGAAGAGGAAGATCAAATAGAGGGATAAACGTTGGTTCGATGGACATTTGTTAACTAGAAATGGAGAATTTTAGAATTGACCTAGAAAATTAATTTTGAGTGTGAAATTAACGAAAAATTTAAATTCTGTTGGGTCCAAGATCTCACGATTCAATTTTATTTACAATGCGAGCCGGGGTCCTGTTTCGCTTCGGCAAGGTATGACACAGGGTTGTGTGAGATTCCGGTTGACGATTATGAACTGCCCTGTTGTTTGTTTGTTTCTTAAGTAAGGGATGTCGAGGTCTCTGTGAATGGTCTCGATGGAGACATATCATGGGGCGTTAATCATTGTTTTGAAGAACCTGCAGACTTTCATCTGCTCAATCATCTTTCTTTGTAACCTCTCGGGAACCAGATTCCCAGAACTCGATTGGGCCACCAATAAAGTGTTATCTGCATAGAGACAGACGTCACAGTTGGGGGCGTGTTCTCAACAAGATATTATTAATTTTTATCTAAAATTTCCTACCTCAAATGAAGCTTGTTACTACTGCGCTTGGAATTTCAAGCCCCGTTTTCATGTCTATGAGCTTACTCTAGGAGTGTACTTGGCCTTCAGACTGTATGATAGCACGTCCCATGAAATAGTCGGACCATAACAGCGACGATAACTATAAAACCAGTGGCGTCCGTTAGTCCAGAACGCACATAAAATGATTACGGCCGCAATGCGGAACCCAGCTTCAAATGTTTATGGCTTTTATCGTGCTGACCAAGCTGCTCAGCTCGCATCCGGATAAATTAATGTTAACTTTCAATATTTTAACGAGAATGCCGATATAGTCAGGCATCTTGTTATGCCAAAAATGGGGAATCATTTTTCTAACTGTTCTAGACATTATGTCGGGTTTTTAAAATCCGGATCGCGGACCGACCATCCGTTGCCGCCGACGTTCAGTTAAATAATTGTTTGATTAGTCGAAGGTTGTTACCGCAATTATTGGCTGTATACTTGGGTGTATAAAGCCTCTGATTGCTATCTATTACAAATAACCTAAGCTTCGAGAAACTGTATCTATAGGTCAGTGCAACTAGATAATAATGCTTCGCCAGCTGGTACAATCGACGAACAGCGTTTTTATTTTCCTCTGATTTTATTTAAGATGGGACTACAAAATAAAAAGGACATTGACATTGCCACTTGATTTTCTCCATAACACGGCAATTTCAATATGATGCTTTGTTTTTTGTCCTCAAAAATGTATAATTGGGGTTACATTGATATTTCCAAATCTCAGCTATTAAAAAAAAACAGAAGGCCTTGAAATCATTAGATACTCGTTTGTTTCATATCATCAGTCAGGAATTCCTTCACTTTTTATGAACTAGGCATAGTTAAACAGTTCCTATTTCCCATTTGAATTTTAACTCGTCCAATAAAGAACAATCTAATGCTAACACTTTTCCATGTTATTTAAGGATCGCTATTCAGAACATTCATAACAACATTATTTTATGTAACTGACACATTTTGGAGTGTAAAAGTTACGACGATGTTGAAGCTTCCTAAATGCCAAGAAACTTTGCGTTATTGTCACCTTTGATGTGTAGTATGCTTTTATTACAGACCCTTGGCAGAAAATATTTGGATCACTCGAACTGCTTGATATCCGCTTAACATGATTAAAAGTTATTTCCAGAAGAACCCTGGTAGTTAAGGAAATAAGAGCCGTTTTTCAGTTCCTCATTTGTGTTACTCGGAGTAACTCGATACTGACAATACCGTTCCACCGCTCTAGAGTGTCATGCACCTGAGTTACTCATTTTTGAATTCTCTGCCCCTTCATGCACTAGCTATTCATTCGGTGTTATCTGCTCCGAAATAGTGGAGATGACGAAAATGACAATATGTCAAGATTGTTAGGTAATATTTTTTCACCGTTTTTTTGCATTAGGCTCACATTAAACCGATACCAGACAATAGAGGATGGTACAAAGCTGATAATGTATGATACACAGTCACAACATACATTTGAGATTTATCTGAATAATAAAGATCACTAGAGAGCGCAATAAGGCAAGTTCATAGCGGCTTGTGGTTGGCTTCATCTATATACTTTGAAAATAATTTTTAATGTCTACACTTAAAAATATGAATTAGATACATTTAGACAGACGCTTTACAATAAAAATACAAACCTCTGACGTGTTGCGCCATCTTTCTAAAAGCATCATCAGGCATCAATTGGATAGTCTGACAATGCTTCTCAAAATGAAGGCAAAATGTGTTTCACATTTTCATTCTTACTTTGGCAGTGTGATCACAAACTGTCAACGTCAAAGCAAAACATCAAAAACAGGTTAGGTATTTATCGTGGCGCTCCCGTACATATTTGCTAGAGCAGTTTGGGAACGACATACTCCGGCGCGGGCATTATGTAAAAAATCTGTAAAAGGTCAAAAAAACCTATAAAATGTCATCTTGCAGACTAGTTAGTTTTTAGGGTGCAAACAGTCATTCCGCGTCTGCTCACTAGGATCGTTGTGATCGTCCATCTATGGAGGAACGATTCAACTAAACTACACGCATTGTTGGTTGCATATGTATTGTGAAGCCGAGTAATCTGTAGTTTTTATCTCTGAGAATAAAGTTGGTTGAATAGCAAGATCGCATCTGGATGATATGCGTATTGGTCTGCATGTGTATAAAATCAGTGTTATTTGCTGTATGAGAAAATCATTACTGAATATGCTGCCAATGTAGTATATCTATTAGCTGTGCCCGACGTGTTATTTGTGTTGTGCTTTCTGAAGAAAGGTTATGTTCAAAGTTATAAATTACGAAGAACTTTGAGGAGAATTACGGGAAATCACTACCGCGCCCGCGTTGTGTGTAATTACTGTTAGCATGTAGCTATATGGCTTGTAATTCGACAGTGTACAGTGGATCTAATTATTTCTTATCTCTGTCATTTTTAAAATTCAGCAAATTTGCTTATGCAATTTCCAGAATTAATGAGAAAAAGTGGATGCGCGACTGATTTCTAGCTTTGAATCTCAAGTAAGTGCATTTGAGACAAGAATCCAATGGCATTATCATCAACACATAAAACTTACAGCTCAAACCTCCAGTAATGCCAGCTCTGAAGCAGATGTTACGTTACATCAGAGCCAAACATTGATAACTGATGCCTCATGACGTTTAGGCAACACGTACAACTAAGTGTTAAGTTAACATCTTGTAGAAAAACCTACATAATGTCAGAAAAAACCAAAACATTGTCAAAAAAATCGGCATGATGTCACTTTTTAAGATACGTAATACCCGTGCCGGTGTATACAATCCTCAACCCAAAAAATGTTCTACGATTTACGGCGTAAGATGTTACCAGTAGCTTACTTGATAGGGTATGCTGACAACCTGGCAATGCTGGTAACAAGCACAAGGAAGATACGTTAAAGATTCTCCTGGCATATAGAATAACAAGACCAGGAAATGACCTAATCCAGCTCCCAAAAAAATGAGCTAATATTCTCAGATGGGCAAAAGCTAACCTCACTGTCAGTAAACGCCGAGATACACAGTCCGCGTGCAATTAAATACTTGGGCGTATGACAAAGCACAAAACATGACATAGCACATAAGGCGCACAGTGTGAAAAGCAAATGAAGATGGTGCTTCCTTGACTCAATTGCTGCCAACTGATAGTAGGCCCAGTGGTAAGAAACGAAGATTAATGGCTGGTGTGAGCTCGATTATGTTATATGGGACACCAATCTATGAAAAGACATCGAAAAAGGAGGAATATAGGCAATCCTCAAATGCCAGCGGAAAGAAGTACTGTGGATGATTTGAACGGTATCGATGGAGGCGCTGTTGGTGGTGACTGGAATCCCAATAGGTTTATTATCTAATGAAATGTGTGCATTCGCAAGAAGGGTGCAGGAGCTTGAAATGAAAGGGAGGTGCTATACAGGGTTATCCAAATTAAGTGTCCACCATTAGTAACTTTGTTATTAGTGAAAATACAAAGTTGTTTGAATTAGCAAACTAGTAGCATTTTTAACGCTGGTAAAAATGAGAAATAAAAAAAAACAATTGAGAGTCGTTATTTTGATTTTTTTCAGTAAAATAACATTTTTTTAAATGGAAACCCCTGTATATTATATTTTTTTCTGTTAAAGCATCAAATTTTAAACAAAAAAGTTCATAATGACTTTTCCGCTAAAGTCAAAAATAAAGTCAAAATAACGATAAATATTTTTAATTATTTGCAGTATTATAATATTAAGACGGCTATGAAAACAACATGGCGTTCGCGATTTGACAGCATTAAGATAAGCGACAAATTGTTAAACTGGACATACTCGCAACTAGAAGGCTTTGGAAAACAATGATAAAATCAAATACCAAAACCAAATTTACAAGCGAAGGTACGATAACCTTGACGCGTTAAAGACTGCAGTTAGGGAAAAGATAACCCAGATAGATGGTAGGACCATACTTAAGACAGTTCGAGCAGTTGGAAAACGTGCCCAAAAATGTATTGAAGAACAAGGTGGTGTTTTCGAGCATCTTCTTTAAAAAAAATTGTTATTGTATTTTGTAAGATTATAAGTTGATGTTGAAAATAAAGTTTGTCGATACAATTTAATTGTTTCAGATTGGAGGCCATAACTTCAACAATTTGTAACCTAGGAGAAAAGTTATTGTAAGCTTTTTTGTTTAAAATTTGATGCTTTAACAGAAAAAAATATAATATACAGGGGTTTCCATTTAAAAAAATGTTATTTTACTGAAAAAAATAAAAATAACGACTCTCAATTGTTTTTTTTATTTCTCATTTTTACCAGCGTTAAAAATGCTACTAGTTTGCTAATTCAAACAACTTTGTATTTTCACTAATAACAAAGTTACTAATGGTGGACACTTAATTTGGATAGCCCTGTATATTAAGTGGCAACGAAGATGAATATAGCGACAAAAAGAGTAAAGTGGACAACGATTGGGGAGACCTATGTCCAAAGGTGGACTGAGAAATACTAGAAGATGGGACACGACTAGCCATGAAGCGTGGAGTAGGTGACTGATTTGAACCTGTGCATCTACTCGAATGCAGTAGGTGGGTTGACTTCCAGAGATAACTCGAACTAGCGCTCGGCGAGAGGTTCAGTGCTGACAATTTTGCCAATCATCTAAATGATGGTAAATGAGTTGAAATGCAACCAATGTTAAGGCGAATGATGAGGTATGTGACAAGCAAAGCAGACAAACCAACAATAGATTTTTCTGTCTGCAGGGCATGCATATACATACAAGCATATGTACAGAAGGAGATACCCACTATGACGAAATGCTGCACGGTGAGATGCATGGAGAACGAGCTAAACGGTTTTGGAGAATATTCTGTTTTTGGAGAGGAAAGGCTGAAAGAAAGGATCTATAAAGTTTGTCTGCATGAGAGTGGCTATAAAATCTTAATCCTACCTGAAATAATAATTGACCTTCTAATTATATTACTGTAGACGATATACGTTAGTTCCAATTCATTTTGACCCATAGTTAAATGACTTTTTATATTATTGTACCTGCCCAAGCCCAGCTGAATCTGATAGTTGCATATCGTTTTGAAAATGATCACTTGAATATTCCTGATGCTTCACAAAATGGACGTTGTTACAAAGAGGAACATGCAGAATATGCATCAAAATGGTTGTGCATACAGGATAGTGCTTATTGTTCCGGAACGCAGTAGAGTTGATAAGTCATTTTTAAAGTTAGTCAATCTCTGTACGAGTCTCTGTATGAATATCGCACTGATTGCTACTTCCGTCACAAGTACGACAACCATACCAAGAATCATAACTTTTAGGTGTTTTTCCAACTATTTTATTTCGCTAAAAAAGTGAAAACTTCTCTAGTGACCATTATTCGTGGCATACCTACCATCCCTTAACCATTGTATTGAAAATTAATAAATGATAGGAAATCGCTTCATTCATCCATTTAGGAATTCACCCGATAGTTAAGATATTTGGACGTGACTATTAAAAAAACATGTAACACCTGCAATTGTGATTGTCTCTGTAACCCTTCGTGCGTTTATCTGACCAACAATCAAAACCTTCGAACAATAAAAGGTTAGCTTTACATTTCAGCTGTCATGGTTCACAGCAGCCTTTCCTAGTCGACGATATAACTTTTCGCGGATCCCCATCATTTTTGGGTAACTAAAACTGGTGTATGTGTGTGTACTACTTTTATCTTTAAAAACGATCTATATGCAAAATCTTCACGTTACTCTCTTGAAGTCAAAGTTGTAGGTATCTGATGAGACAGTATAACAAAAACTGAGGAACGCATTTATAACGGTCACTTGTAAATCTTGACAGTGAATGTATCTGCTATCTTAAATTTTATGTTACTGGTACAAAAATAGCGGTATTGGCGTAATGAAAGAACTGAAACAAATTTCTTTAGCATTGGTGTCATTAGGTCTCATATATAGTGGCAATTAAAGTATTTAACTGATCGAAGACTCACACAAAAACAGTTAATTGCATCAATTGGACTTATTTACTTCTCAAATTTTATTTTTTTAACGAAAGAATGGAGTCGCACCTGCAGTATCCTTAACAGTACTGTTAAATACAGCAGAAGCAGACTATGTAAAAAGTACAACGTGCCTGGGCAAGCTTGTGCAACAGTTTGATTTACGGTAAAAGGCATTTTGATCGACCGATTTTTTGTTGCTAACTCAGAAAACTTAACATCGTCAAACATTTTTCGAGACTACTTGAAGGTAATAATAAAAGTTTAAAAAATCAAGTCTCCAATAAAGTGTCGGGAACAGAGCATTGGAAATAAATGTATGAACGACAAACTGTCGGAATAACGGTTGACGTGAAGAGCACAAATTTATTAGATATTACAATGATTCGAAGTTTTGGAGATCGAAAGGTGTTAAAGGGTGTGAAGTAAAAAAAGGAGAAATGATACAATAGTGGAGAGAAAAAACAAATTAGGGCACCTATCCTGTTGTACTACAGATAATGTTAGATACATGGTGATTACACAAAAATACTTAATGTGGAAGATACAATTCGGATTTGTTGTAACAACTATAGTGGCAGTCTAGCTATTCACCCTAAGCCTTGTTCAGCAAATTTAATGAAGAAAGAGAGAACAATAAGAATAAGGAGGACGACCTGTGGAGCTTAAAACATCTATGGACTAGTTCTTGATGAAACACAACTAGGTATATCGTAGTTAATTTTATTGGATCTATCACTTGATACATTCCTTGTATGGCCACATAATTTGACGTCACATGTACAGGGAGTAGTACAGTCAAAATAAGTACGGGAAAAATATCATATCAAAATATTCAGAAATACATGCCATTTTTTGAGTAAAACAAAATTTACGTTCTAAACACTATGTCGCCCATATGGCGCACTTGAGCCGAAATGCAGGAATCAAGCCTCTCCCGAAATGAGCCCATTGCGTCGGCCAGCATCCGTGCAGGAATTTGGGATACTTCTCTTCTTATTTCCTCCTTCAAATCGACGAGGGTTTGAGGCTTGCTTTGGTAAACTTTTGATTTCAGATAGCGCCATAGAAAAAATCACACGTTAACAGGTCCGGGGAGCGAGGGGGCCATGGAATATCGCCTATGGGCGACATAGAACGTAAATTTTGTTTTACTCAAAAAATGGCATGTATTTCTTTGTATTTTGATATAATAAAATATTTTTTCCCATACTTATTTTGACTGTACTACTCATTTAAAAAACATGCGGTCTTTCTGACGAACCATGTATAACTGAATGTCTATTACAGAATGTAATGAATCTGGAGTTCCTAATCATCATAATGGTCTGAGAATTGATAAAATAGTAAAAGAAAAAATAAACCTTTTACGATAGCACAGTTTTCATACTGACTTTTAATTGCGACATTTTGATTTGATGCGGCGTTCTTCAAGAAATATAGATTTTATTATAAATGTTCATATCATTAAATCTTTTCAGAGATCGCAAATTACTAGTAATCGATATAAAGCTTTCTAACTGATAGATACACTGATTACATTTCTTCATCTTAAGTTTTGTGCAACAAGGCTATTAAAGTAATCAGGAAATGTTTCGTCAAAAATGAAGAAAAATATAATGGGCAAGTAGCGTAACTATGATTAAGCTTTTAGATAGAGACAAACAATAGTTCCTCGTTATAATTCATAAATTATAATAATCTATGTGTTACTGAATTAGAATAAATTCAGCCTTTAATTATACCATTATTTGATACCGGCTTTGGTAACTGTTTGTGCTGGATAAGCCTTTAATTATATCATCCTAACGTACATTTCATATGTATAATCCTATATATCCCACAATCGTTCATTTCGGATGGTCGGAGTACAGATCACCGAGCACCAGACTAAGTTAAGCTTATAACCTACTAACTCCGCACGAGACCCAGATAAGACCTGGCCTCGAGTACGGCTAACATGTTTGAGGTGCTTCTCTAACGGACAGTCTCAGGACCCTTTAGCACCGATTGCGTCCGCGATCTAGCTCTCTTCTACAGCTATGTCAACAAGCTTTGGTTCTCAGAGCTCTCCTCCATAATGCCGCTGCGCGTTGTGCCTGCCGCTTGACTTTGGCCTCCCATCCTAACCGTGTCGAACTTCGTACATCCAGGACTGGCCGATATGACCGCTTCTTTGTCCATAGGGTAGCGAGATTGTGTAAGAATCTACCTGAGGAGGCATTTTCCAATTCTACTAACGTTAGGCAGGTCAAAAATCGGATTAACAAAGATTCTTTGAGCTTTTCATAGCAGCCGCCCTATATAAAAGAACAACTAGACGTAACCATTATACATACAATAAATCCACAAAGGTGCTAGTGGCTTTTGCGGTAGTTCCTTTTTTACATAATTACCAATTCACAGTTATACGACAGCTAGACTTACCTGAATCCGAATCTGTTGCACTGACAGTCACAACGGATGTACCAATGGTGACGTTTTCAAAAATGTCGTTGCTGTATGACATGGGATCGAATATGGGTGCATTATCGTTTAGGTCTAGGACGTTGCAGTATACAGTTAGTGTGCTGGATAAGGATGGGAATCCTGCATCCTGAGCTTGCACCACCAATATGTAGTGTTGCACCTAGAACAAAAAGAACATCAGTCATATTTCAATATGCACACAAAGAAATTTGAAAAGCCTTAAAAACTTATACAGACATTATAATTATCCAAGAGTGGTTTTTCAAATTCCTATCCTTAGGGCGTTTTAAGCCACGTTTCCAATATAACAAGTTGTTCATGCGGCTTGTTTACATCCTTGCGACCAGGCTTATTTTTTGACATGAGATCGTTATTTTCATATTGCATAATGTATAAGTGACATATAAATCCGAACACCCAGTTCAAATGATTGTCTTCTAATAAAAGTTGGTGAATGTATTTATCTTACTGTAAATAAAAAGTGAAACAATTTTCAGCCTTATCAGTTGGACATTCCGGTTTTTATACTGCTTTTTTTTAATTCACTAATGCTCTAGAAATAAATATTTCAGCCGCAGTAAAAAATCAACGTTGACGGATTTTGGTTCTTGACATCCTTTACGATCGGTTACGATACCTAGAGTACGGAGACCTGTACGTTTTCGTCAACTTAGTGAGTTTGATAGAGGCCGTATAGTGCGACTTCGGGAAGCTGGACTTTCTTTTCGGACAATTGCAGTTAGAGTGCAAAGAAGTGTAGACACTGTGGTTAGGTGTTGTCAGGCATGGCTTCGAGAAGGCCGTACGCAAAGAGCAAGGGGCACTGGACGCCGCCGTAGAACAACAGATCGTGAAGATCGCCGCCTAAGATTATTGGCCTTAAGGGACCGTTTCTCCACTACCAGGTCCATTGCAAATGAATGGTTTGCAGAACACGGAAGACCTATTGGCATGCGAAGTGTTTACCGACGAATGAGAAGTTTTGGCTTGTTTTCATACCGGCCACACTGGGTCCTCCCTTAACTCGAGAACACCGACGTAATCGCCTTGAGTGGTGCAGACAACGGTCACTCTGGGATCAGGAATGGAACAGCATTGTCTTTAGTGACGAGTCTCGATTTTGTTTAGGCATGCACGATGGTCGTGCCGGGATTAGAAGGCGACGTGGTGAAAGGAGGAATCCACAGTTTTTTGTTGAAAGACATGTTCATCACACTGTTGGAGTTATGGTTTGGGGTGCTATAGCTTATGGTTCCAGGTCACCTTTAATCTTCATCAGAGGTAACATGAACGCGCAGCGTTATATCCACGCAGTTCTAGAACCCCATCTTTTACCCTATCTTGACACCCTGGCAGATCCAACTTTCCAACAAGATAATGCCCGACCACTGGAATGAGATACCACAGGAGGACATTGACCACCTGATCAGAAGCATGCCTAGGCGCGTTGGAGAATGCGTAGCACATCAGGGTGCATCCACACATTATTAAAGGTCAAAGGGCTTTAAAGCAGTGCAATCATTTTGAAATTTTTATCATTTACTTATTATGCTTCATTAAGTACTTATACAAAATTTTATTAAAATAAAACCATTTAAACTGGGTGTTCGGATTTATATGTCACTTAGTATATTTGGTTAGTACTAATCAATACAAAGTGATCCTTCAAATGCCATACCACCAGTATAATACAGCCGGTCATCATACATGTAGATAGTATGAATAGCAACAAAGGCTTGTTGATGTCTGCCAATAGCCAATATTGAGATTCGACCTGTAACCTGAAACAACATTCCATTTCCATTCATTAAGGTATCCTGATGAGGTAACACTAACACGGAACTGCCAACCTTTGTTGTGCTTGATACAAGGAATCACATCTCAAGTTGAATGTTTCCAGAAGGTGCGTGTAAGAGCAGAGCTAGTTTGTTGGATACCATTCCATTGCTCATAAAAAGCCTAACCTTAGGCAACCAGTAATACTGTGGTAACATCAGAATGTTTGGTGCAAGTTTCTTCTATTTTCTCCAAACAAAAGGACCGGCACATCTTATTAAATGCCCGTGGCACAAGTTGGGGCACATGGTGCGAGCTTAGGGTTGCTAGACGCCTGCTTTCAGCCGAACATGTTTGGCGTTTTTTGGTTCTGTCCGGCCTGTCCGGCTTTTGGTAAGCTCTTTGACCTACGCGGTATGCGCTTATTCGCGTTGCGCCTGCAGTGTGAAACGGCGTACGTACTCGGTCGCACGTGTTCGTATCTCGTATCGTATATAGGGATGCAACGATATATCGGAAAACCGATAAATATCGATATATCGACAACTAAAAATATCGCTACTTATCGATATCGACGATACGCTGATATCGATATCGAAAAATTCAATACATCGTATCAAAATATCGAAAAACCCACCTAAATTAAAATACCCACAAAATCGGGTAAAACGCTTGACTGGCAACGTGACAACACTGATTCTCTAGAAAATGAGGTATGACGATATGACAAGTGACAAGTGTATATGTTTTGTGATATGACATGTGACTAATTGCTAATAAATTAATACTCAATTTTAATTTCAAAATATGAAGAGAAGTAGATTATGGTCATATTTCAAAAAAGAAGACGGTACTGCCGTTTGCACTATTTGTAACAAACGAGTTAAAACATCTGGAAAAAAAACAATCTAGCATCACATATTAAACACAAACATCCAGAAGAATGTGACGTTGGATATGAAACCAATTGTGGCGACAAGCGATTCTTCCGAACGTATTTTTTCAAAAGCAGGAGCTGCTAAAACTCAGAGCAGAAACCGACTACAATGAAGCAGACTGTCAAAGTTACCATTTTTAAGTTCCATAGCTAGTACAAAATACCGGAATTAATTTTCCCAAATAAATGTATGGAAAGAAAAACACATTTTATATACCTATCCGAATTTTGTTTAACTTCACATACATAAGTATACAAATTTATATACATACATCATCGATAACTGTTTGATATAACTGAACAACGTTGGATTTCTAATTTCTGTAAGCTTCGATAGATCGATGCCGACTTAATTCGATATATATCGATATCGATATATCGATATTTATAAAAAGTTTGCATCCCTAATCGTATATCATATTTTTTTGTTATTGTAGTTATGTCAACTTTGAAAATGCATGTTCGACCAAGGGTGGATCCAGGGGGGTCATTGGAATCGAAACCGACCAGCCACGCCATCTCTCGGTCGCTATCAATATATGTTGCGGCACAAATGTGTTGCAATGGGAGCTTACCTTTAGGCTTACGTCCAAAAATTACAGGGAACTCGAAAAAATAGCGGAAATGGAAGAGGATGCTCCAGCGCTTTTTTGGTTTCTTTTCTAACCTCAACAAAAGCTGTTCTGTTAGAGAAGAAGTAAGTAATTTGAGGTAGAACAAGGCAAATATTTTATATATCCCTGTAGAAAGGATGACATACTAGAAGACCAGCTTCATAGGCAACAGTCGCTAAAGTGACAAAGTCAGCATGCATTGACTAACTTTCTGTGCTTCAAAAATTAGGCAGTAGTCAAAACTGTCGGTGATTTATGCTTAATTCTGGTTGAGTATTTTCATTTTTTGTCAAAATAGCTATGAAACAGCAACTATATTGAAGCATACCATGGATAAAGAGCCAGAAAACTTTATATGATACGTTGTCTCACATTTCTTTCTTGTTGCTTGCTGAGGTAATCGCCATCAAAACTCCGTTTCTCAAAAATTTGAAAAATAGCGCAAGTTCATTGTTGTTAGGTTTGATTGTCCTTCTGTTACTTTTTTGAGTTTGGTTAGTCCAGGGGTTATTTATACGAGTCTAATGCATTGTTTTCTCTTTTACTGAGGGGATTCGTAACTATTCATTATCATACCAGAAAAAGAGACGACCCGGAGACACTACTTTAAAAGGAAATGGTTAAAAGTCTATAAATCGGTAAAATTCCTTGTGATAATATTCACAGAATATAGATTGATTCGTTGACAACTTTTTGTAGCAGTTTGTCACTTATAGATTTTCTTACATGTACAGCTGTATATTTTATAACAAACACAACGGGAGTTCTTGACAGAGACGGCTTATGGTATACTCGTATATAGTCCATCACACAGAAAGAACATACACTTTTTTTTCGACAATCGTCTTTACTTTTTCCTGACACTATTTGAGATTTCAAATAAAAAGTACACCCGGTATACGCATGATAACTTTCTCTTGATTAAAATATAATGAAGAAAATGGTGACAACTATTCCCTCTCAATATATATTAATACACATGTTTTTCTCAGCTTCAATAATATATGATTAAACCTGTACCGCACTGATGAGTTGCTAATGAGCATGAAACAGCTATGGTCAGATGAATGCAAGCTATATTATTAGAGTATTTTGTTTGGTAATTGCATATACCGATAAACTACAAACGGTATACTGTAACCTACTGGAAACCACAAGGCAAAATGGACTACGGATATATCAGAATAAAACAAAATATATGGAGAAATAAGAAGTGCAGGGATTAAAAGAAGATTATATTAGGCCGGATACAGAAAAATTTCGGATGAGCAGCAAAAATACGTTTATTTAGATCGGTAGTTAAGCCCGCTGTTATGTACGGTTGTGAGGTTGTGAGTCCTGGATAAAGACACAATGCAAGTTAAATTAGAGGTGTGGGAAAGAAGAAATTAGTGAAGGTCTATGGAGAAGAAGGACTAATGACGAAATAGCGGAAATGTATGGAGATTCATCTATTTTAAAATCAGTCAATGTTCAAAGAATTAATTGGTTAGGGAAGGAAAACAGACATGCCAGAAAAGCACTGCTTGAAGGAAGGGGAGGAAAGAAAAGGAGGCTCTAAAGATCGTAAGTGTAACTGCGCGGAGAAAACAGGCTGCAGACTGCATGGAGAAGGGTGCTTTAAGGAATGGAATCGGTACTGTACTTTGTAAGTCATGGGCATTTGAGGCCTTGTAGAACTGTAATATATATTCCGTTTGGATTCTGATTTATCGATTCAACGTACATTTTTGAGCTACATTTTCCTCTCTCTTAAGTCCGCACCTGTATGTCTGTCTGCGGTACATTTTATTAAATACCTACACTATGGGTGCTTCTCGCGACGCGTAGCTAGCAGCAGTGTACCTACTGGTTTTTGTCGCTATAAAACAAATGAAATGTGCAGATCGCGGTGATTAAAGATGGAATAAAATATATGTATATAGAGGATATGGCGGAGGAAAAAAGGTGGCATTATAGAAATATCTTAGAGCCTGATGGCCATTTGGAGACCTGCGCGTTCTGATCGTTTTATTCTAGAGTGATTTGTGCGCTTTCACACGATTTGTCGTACGTGGAAAACATACGAGGTATACCGTCAGCTTGTCCTCTGCTGTTAGTAATATCGCTGGCGTAGATGCGAACTGTCAGCACGCCAACAGATATATAGTCCAGGATCCCATGTACAACAAAGTGTAATCAAAAGTTTTACTGTGATACATCATTCATAAATACTTAAGCTCGATTTTGAATGATAGGGATGAATTGGATGTAAATAATTCTGCAAGTTCGATAATGGACAGTTTTTGAGCTATCGAATGTCACATTTGTCCGCATACGAGGTCTGCAAACTAAATAATGAGACTGGCAACGTAGCGCTCGATCTGGCAACACTGGAGGTGCATGGCTTAGAAGCGAGACCTGGTAGCATGTGATCCGGCTTCAGTACAAGTTTGAACTCGGTCGAGTCATTTGGTTGTCCGCAGCGATTTTTTTGTAGAGCAGTTTTTATTGTCTTCTAGAAATGAGCGACATCAATGTCGAGCAACGGTGTGTTATCAGGTTTTGCTACAGACAAGGGCACAGTGCAACGAAAACTCTTGCTAAACTACAGCAACCTAAGGTTGCTGGTGGGACTGTTGTCTGGCCATAACACGTTGAGGCGCCACCTGCACGTGATGGGTGGCGGATGATCCCTTGTGTGAGCGTTGTGAGGTGAGGAGACCATCATACTGAAAATTCAGCCAATTTCACTGTACCCCCTTTCCCATATTCTGTGCCGCGTGGTTTACAAATGAAGGCAGTGCTTTAACTCTAATGATCTATCGTATTGTAATATTTTTCATTTACCTTCATTTATAAAAAGGTTAGCTGTAATTCAAAAACTAGACGTACAAACTCCAATAAGCATTGTATCAGAAAATGGGGAACAATGAATGCAAAAATATACAGGGCGTTACATTTGAAGATTTCGAGAAATCGTTCATCTTGCAAACTGCAAAAATATGTTCCGAATGAGGAGCAGGCTGCAATTTCCGTAATTAGCTTTTTTAGATACCGTGCGTCATAACTGTGCATGTTGCTTCATTTGACCAGAAAGTCATAGTGTTCTGTCGATTTGACAGTTTTTGATCTCTTGACATATAAAGGAACTGCAAGAGGTATTCACCCTGTACCTTCCTTTCACGCAACATTCCTCAAAAATATTGAGAAACAAAATCAGAATAATACCTAGCAGGTATAACGTATAACGCGAGGCTTCCTGGCACATACGTTTGAAATGGACAGCCTTGCGTGGGCATGCTGGCTTTTCTGGCAGGTAATAACTGTTAGAGAATAATTATCCAAGTTAATTTAGCACCTATTTTACGGTTGAAGTGATATATAGACAGTCAAGGGAGTGTACCATTCAACTTTTTTAAGATAAAGGCGCGTTTGCTTGATGTAACTTAATAGTGGCAACCAGCGAATCCAGACTAGGAAGAAAGAGCAAGACTACGATTTGTTTGTCTCCAAAATCTGATAGTGTATATTCAGGACGAAAGTCCACCAGGCTTAACCCGCTATTTTGGCAGGTGTTGACATTTCACATGAAATTCCATGCTAGTCCTAGTGTTCCAGAAAATTGACTCCTATGGAATGCAAACTGTTTGGAGGAACTTTAAATTTCCAGACTAGCTTATTTAATTTAATTGCCGATTTAAGTTCAGGTAGGCCCACATTCTCTAGAATACCAAAAAGGGTGCAAAAATACAATTTCTACGGCATCTTTTCTTTACATCAAAGCAGTCTCCCAGGCAGAAGCCTAAATGCCAGGACACCGCGGCTGCTATGAGGATCCCAAAGAAATTTTTTTAATCCGACTTTTGAACCTTCTTACGGTCAGTAGAACTGGTAAAAGCATCCTGTTGAAGATTGTCCACGATCTCGACGCCCGAGGGACAAAGGAGCGGTTGTATCGACGAATTCTAGATGTACGAAGTTCGACTCGGTTAGGAAGAGAGGCTGAAGTTGGGCGGGTTTGTCTGGCAGGCACATCGCGCAGCGGCGTCATGGAAGAGAGGTCTGAGGAGCAAAGCCCGTTGACGTAGCAGTAGGAGAGAGCTAGATCGCCGACGGCCCGCCGGTGTAAAAGGATCCCGAGTTTGTCTTTTAGATCAGTCGGACAGCATCGACGATTGGTTCGTCAAGGTACAGAGCTATTTTTTGGAAGCATTAAACTGTACAAGCTTGTTGCGTCCCCAATCAGTGATAATCTCCAGGCCTCTGGTCAGAGAGGAAATCCCTGCTAGTCTCATGTAGAGTACTGTCTGATGATGCAAAGCTGTGAATTGATCTATCACTGGGGAACACCTGCGTTGATGTTGTGGGATGAAAAAGGAGATCCCGTCAATTACGATGGATGTCTTGCTCCCACAGAAGCCACAGGTTGGAAGTTTGCATAAGAGGACACTATACCATAGCTGATCGAATGCTTTCGTGATATCAAGGGCAACGTGAATCGCTGGTGCCGGAAACCATACTGCCTGTCGCTAATCAAGCTGTGACGATAAAGGTAGTCCAGAAGTTCGCGATTTATGCATCTCTCCATCACCTTACATATAACAGAGAGCGGAGCTATAGGCCTGTAGTTATATC